TGGCTTCACTTACAGGACGAAATCTCTACAAAAAATGAAAACGATCATGGTCGGACTGGGTGCTGTGACGTCTTTGGTCTATCTGGTTAGCGTTCAGGTGATTCGCTTTGCACGCGGTCGCAAACGGTGCCGAATGAATCCTGCTGACGGCATTTTAATGCGACAGGATTGTCACATATTCCTACTCCGCTGCTATTTGAAGATATACGCATATTTTGACAAATACATTCATTAACAAATCGTTTTAGATGGGAGACTCTACTGGACACCAGCTGGTCTCTCGTTTATGATGTTCTCAAGCAATTGAATGTGCTCACCAGGCCAGCCTCATGTTTCATGTATATTTGTAATGTACTACTCATATCTATCTATTCAACGAAACTTTCTTCATGGGGAGGGACATTGTCGTAGTTGTCTAGCTCAAGCTTGGAATGATCTACTGCTTGTTCAGCATCTGATTGTAATGCGAGGAAATTCCGTTCGGCGCGGTCTATCTATTCAACGAAACTTTCTTCATGGGGAGGGACATTGTCGTAGTTGTCTAGCTCAAGCTTGGAATGATCTACTGCTTGTTGTAACAGCATCTGAAGTAAGACTAGTGTGACGAAATTCATCATGAAGTTGTTGCCTATAAAGTTGAGAGAAGGCTGGACGGCAGACTGAATCACAGCAAACGTACCACACTCCAAGAAGTGTGCATGCAATGCAGATTGCCTCCTAACAAAAAAACGACTCTATCAAATAATCAGTTAGCTCCCATAAGTCCAGAACGCTGAGTCCTGTGCAAACAGGGGTAGGAACTTTCGAGCTTGATACAAGAGGAGAACACCAGAAGAGATACCGTCTACAACGTACAGGGAGAGGATGGACTGACAGAGGCGGAATCAGTAAGATCAAGCAAGTCCGTTTTGAGCTCTGAACCGATGGTCGTGAGATTTGTACGTGAGGATGGTTGCAACCGCCGCACAAGCCACGAAATCGAGAACTGACTAAGTCCAGCGGTTCCAGGTGGATCACAAAGGCGCTCGATATTCGGTTCGACCAAACACGCCACCAGGTCAGCGGACGCTGTTGTGACATGCCCCAGTACTCCCACAAAGTCCGTGGCTACTGAGCAAGAGTCAAGAGATCGCAAGGCCACATTCTGGAACCGACTACAACGCAACCGTTCACATTCTATAAGTGTGACCAGACCATTGAGCTTTTGACCGAGCCTGTAGACGTAAGAGAGGACGGGAAGATCACTTGTCATCGATACACTTTAGTCCTGTTTGGAAGACATCAGGAGCATCAACGCTCCTATGCACACAAAGATAAGTAGCAAGCAGCGAAATTTAAAACATCGTATCGTCTCAGATTCTGGACTCAAGAGTAAAAAAAACGGGAGACAAACCGTTTTCTTGGGCTTGGTTGTAAAATTGCGAGACGCGGAATGAGAATAGCGCACTGGAAGGGAAAATATTATTTGGTCGTATAGATGAGTCATATGAGAAGACTAAGCAAATCTTCTTAACGTTTGGGTAAAGAATCGGTAGTTTTTAATTGTTTGTTTCTGAAACGATGACTTATCAATCGGTTCCAAACTTTTCCAAATGATCAAATCTTCTCAAGCTTATAAGAAATGGGCCGTTTTACGACTTGCCATATAACAATGACCGATATGTGTGTGTGAAGGGGGGGGGGGTGGTGCAGGGCTAAAATAAATGTTAAGTCAGAAGCTGATCAATTCGTACGCATCGATCCTGTTAACCTTAAGAGGAATCGTAAAAAATTAAGCGACCAAATGACCACAGGGTGTATCACAGCATTTTATCACAGTAAACTTAGCTCGTGAAAGTCCTTAGCATGGTCAGTCCGAGTGTGATTCGTCGGAGCGACTGGAGAGGTTAGAAAATCGAGGATAATTCGTGCAGTGGGAAGGGGTTGGGAGGGACATCGACGAAACTGTGGCAGCTACAACCAGTGTACGACCAGTACGCGGTTATTACAGCTGATAATGATGATGATGATGATGGATAATTCGTGCGACGAGGCTCTGATGCAAGTAAATCGAGAGGTGCAAATGTTGGGAGATCGTTTCCTGACTGGTTAGGATTCTTTTCCAACCACCAAGCGTCCCTGTCTGGTGGTGTTTCAACTCCACCATACATAGGGAGTAAAATGATGCGGATCTTGGTCAAATGAAAAGTAATCTTACCCAGATTGGCGAGCAAACGTTCTCGGCAAACATGACTTGAATGGAACTGTCTCAAAAGGAACGTCTTTACACAACATAAAAAATTCAAGGCATCTCGTTGAGTGGCTAACAGAGTCTAGCGCAGATATTTTTGGCAGCATGACAATGCGAGATCCACAGACCTAACATTTGAAAATGAACTGAACGCGGTAAATAACTTAAGCTTTTGAGCCAAAGGCTCCGGTTGAGGACTCCAACCATTCTCCTGTTCAGGTCTGGGCATCATGACAGTATTATTCTAGCCTCCGTACAACCATTCACATGCTACAGTGGTCGTCACTTGGTGTTATCAGTCTCGCTACTCTCCTACTCGCTGCATACAGTAAGGCGTGTAAGCCAAATACAACCTGGCGCCGACACCTTCATTCTTTCTCTTTGATATACTTATTCCTCACCCCTCAGCAACTGTAGGGACCGACGACCACGTTCGTCTGCGCGTTAACCGGCACCGACAACCTAAGGCATCTGACAATCGCTCGACAACCGATCTCTTCTGCTACTTTGAAGCAAGCTGCCCTGGCTCTCACTCGCTGGGCATTGGTGTGTGCCGCATCGGTGTTGAACACTGGTGCTACGCTGCCGATGAAGCTGAAATTTGTGCCAGCTATGAATAGGTCATAGCTCCGACAATAGCGAAAAAACTGCTTCTATTGTCTGACCGAGGACTGTATAGAAAGAAACGATCCCCGATAAAGACAGCGTTTGAGGCTGAACGACCCACACAAGCGTCCATGACTTCATCCAGTACTGTGATATGTGACTTGGTTGTGCGGTGAAGTCGATCATGAAATGGCTTTCCGTTGTAATCAATAGGAACATGGGCAAAACTGACGAACAGCACGTGATGGTTTGAGCGCTCCACACCTTATTAACAGGAACAGTGGACAAAAGACTGTCGATTGGAATCCAGTCAAAAGAGGCTAATTTAACTCTTCTGTTCAAGAAAAAATACCAACATCTTCATGACTGGACGTAGTTGCAGAGGAGGAACAGTCAGGTTGAAGAAGAAAAGCGAACACACTGTTGTGAAATCGTTTTGTAAACTTATCCCTGAGCAACAACCAGGATCAAATTTGAGAATCACAAGGTTTCTCACTCATCTGCATAGCAACTCGGTGCCGACGGGAGACTCACCTGGAATCTAGCTGAAACGCTCGTTTATGATGTTTAAAACTTAATTCGTATGCGGATGAATGCAAAAGTCGAATTTCGTGCAATTTGGGTTCAAGTGGAACAGAAGGTAGACGGAAACTTGGGGACTGCGCCTAGTTGATGAGTCCCAAGAAGGGTAAAACCGGTCGTGGACCGGCGAAGAGCTTTCAGCAGCCTTATAAGTAGTCTATTGCGAAAACAGCTCGTTGGTTTGCACGCATCAGTGTTCGAACGTCCAGGTTCTAGATAGATCTAGATCGTCCAGCTGTACCATCCTTCCGGTGCCTAGCTGCCATGCCACCCGAAGGAAGCACAAGGGCTGGTTGCATAAGCCTAGACAGGAGAAGTCGAGAGGCAGAGGTCGGGTTCGGAACACGGACCTTCCGGTCAGTAAATTCGCGCTCTAACCACTGGAGCCATCTCACCCCTATCGTCCAGGTTCAGAGGATGATTCAATGGCGAACCAATGAAATGACTGGCACACGAGTCCTATTATAACTGGTGGGTGTGAGTATGGACTGTAGCGGTAAGCAGTTCAGACAGTGGAATGATAGACTGGTAGGGGGGAATATTTTGTGGAAATCAGAAGTGATGTGTGCAGGGGACAGTTAGCGGTACGTGAATCCACAGTGACAACTGAGCCTGATTGGATGTTGGTGTGATCAGGTAGTGAGTCAGAGAAAAGAAGAAGAGATGGAGTGTAATCGTCCGCTTACAACCGGCTCCAGATCAGGATGCAGACGGAATGCAAGACAGTAGTACCGCATGAGACGGTACTAACTCGAACGTAACGCTAAGTGATTTGCGCGATGAATTAAGCTGCGCGTACTAAATATTTTTGCAAAAATAAGTACAGTGCCTACAAAGAACTCGTAAATTAGTGGAAAAGGAAACTAGGAGGCCTAGTGTTTACCATCAAGAGCCAAAGAAACATGCTCGTCAAGGCGACATTTTATCATCTCCGAAGGGTGCTTTTATCAAGACGGGCTATACCATGAATAGGATGGATGTTGAAGCCCTGTGACTGAGAACTTCGGTGATTGCTATACATCTTTAAAGATAATCACTGTTTCATACTTTCGTTCTGTTGTACGGCACCCGCCAGTCTGTAAGACGACGCAAGGGCTAGTTGAAAGTCTATCTCTCACGAAATTCATGGGACTGAAAATGGATTCACACCCATAACCAAGGGATGACTGATTCCATTGGGGATGATACTAACAATTCGTGCTTAGAAGTCAGCGTCCTTTGGCGAGAAAAAATTCGTTCTCCCGCATTTGATGCGGCGAAGAGCATGATCGTTTCGTCCATTCACAGTTAGTCTCAAATGATCCGAGGTTCATTATTTCAGAGGCACTTCTGCATGTACACTGTGACTTCATTTGTATTTATTCCACCAATTTGTCCGGATCAGTTACTCTGAGTTAAACCGATTCATTCTCACCTACGAGATGAAAGTGTGTGCTTCGAATGAACGGCTGTTTGACAGCCCGACCTGCACAGGTGAGCAGAGAAGCAGTTCAAACCGGCAGAACGGGAGAAGACCTAATGAAAATCCACACGGGATTTTCTGTCACTACTCAAAACGGTGTTAAGTAAATGTTGTCCGTGTGTTACAGGGACCTCAACGCAGCATATCAGAAATCCAAGCCATTATTGGTTGCCCCAGTGCAGGCTCATCAGATGTTTTGGGCAGGTTTATATTCCTTCCAGAGGGGATTAATAGTCAGGGATTCAGGTAAACATTTACGCCAGCTCATTATAGACACCCAAGGCCACGCAGGACCAACTGTTTCTGGGCTGTGTGAATACGGTGCTGTAAGCCGCATTCTCCGTTCGGCTGTATCACCCTTTCGGTGCCACCAGAAGTAAGCACGAGGGCTGGGATAGTGCCAGGTTGCCCGAATCTAGACAGGGAAAGTCGAGGGGCAGAGGTCGGATTTGAACCACGAACCTTTGGGTCAGTAAATCCGCGCTCTAACCACGGAGCCATCTCGCCGCATCCTTAGTCGAGTTGAAAGTGATAAGATCTTTGAAGGCCCTCGTACTCTGAGATTTTGGAAGTAAAGACAGATCATACTGTTGGCATGTTACCTGAAACCGTGTCCCATTATGTCGTCATAAAGACGATTTTTCTCAGATACGGTTGCAGTTACTTAGAGGTCCTTTGTTTTTGTTTGCTGCGGCTGATGATGGAAAAAGTAGATGTCCGCGATTCATTCTTCAGCATGCTGGACTGGACGCGTTGGCTGTGACATTCTATGTTGAAAATTCAACATTTATCCTAGTCTGACCTGACGCGGTTTGGTCCATAAAACGATGTCGCCAACTCCTCCGTATGATCAGTCAATGAAATCGTGGAAGCCGAGGACACTGGTGGTCGGTTTACACCAAGATCTGCTGGAGGCGATGATGAAGTCACTCCCTCGCGCACAAAGTCGGACAAGCTGTTGATAATATGGGTATGAAAGATCTAACAAAGAGATTGATCGGCAAGTGGAGCGCATGAAAGTGCGAACCAGGCATACAGACACACGCATACACACACACACAGACATCAGCCTTTCACGAGCAGCATCAGGCGCACCTCATGCAATCACGCTTGTTCCACCGAAACAGTGCGTGCCGAAACGGGGTTAAATAAGACCGGACAAAGCGTAAGATCAAGTCAAACGCAGCGGTGATGGTAAATGTCAGAAAACGATTGGACGCTTACTCCAATAACCCTTGAGCTCTGCGAAGGTGAATCAGTGAAAACGTGAGAAACAAGAAATCCAATACAGAGATTGAAGATTACAAGGGAGATAACTGGCTAGAAGAAACCTATTGAATGCATCTAAAAATAGAAGCAATTTGTCTTTGGACACAGAAGGTGAAGCTGACGAGTCAACAATGACAAGTGGCGAATTAGAGTTGGGGGCGAATAACAGAGAGATCAATGTTCGAACACACTTTCATAAGTATTACACTCAATCACAGAAGCTGGATTCCAACACATCGTCATGAGAGACAACAAAATCAGTGTTGGCACTGATGATCTATTGACGGGCAGTCAGGAAGTTCAATGAAACTGAAAAAAAACTGGAGCCTATCGCAGGCAGTCTGAGGTGCCTCCACTTCAAAGCGCCAATGCAATAGGTTGGCCACCATTTCCTGCAACTTTCCCAGTCAAACACAGAGAGAATCACGAGGACCTCATCTGGGCCGAAGGACCGCATAAATAATGCACAAAACTACTCTTCCATGGCTTTTTAAAAAGTCATAAATTGTCCACTTTGTCTTTCTTATCCTGAAGAACATGTGGAGAGCAATCAAGATGATTGAACAGCAAATGGCTGAGCAACCATGGCTGATACTGTTGAGTGTTTTTTGCACAGCCGTCTTCCTGGATGGGGACCTCGAGACGGGCCACATCAATGGCTAGAGACATTGTCAGACATGGCCCAGTCGCGCCCTCAATGGCGTTCGTGCATCCAAGCTATTGCCTTCAATGCATAGCTCCTTTTCCAAACCCCCTTCACTTGACAGCCCACTGACAGTGCTGGATTTATGTACCAATTTATCAACTCCCGCCTGTAATGCGCAGCTACCTACCCCCGCCCCCAAATCAACGGTGAGCGAAAGTGGGGCAGCTACAACCACTGTACGGCGAGTACGCGGTTATTAAAGCTGATGATGATGCACAGTAGGCTAAGTTTAACAAATCGTCAGGTATAGTATGTCTCCTCCAAGGATACCGATATTTGGTTGTGGATTTCCCCTTCCTGGAGCTGACTGTTCTGTTTTAATTCGCGCCAATCGTCTTACCGTGATACCAAGCGATAAACCGTCAATTTGAAACTGACGCCCACAGCTAGCTTTAAGTTTATCACCTATACGCATATGGTATACATGAAATTTTTTGGCATGCGCCCGTTAATGATTTTTCAGTGTTTTAGAAAAATCATTCTTATAGAAAGGGTTGTTCTAGGATGGACCACTGTGAGACAGGGAAACAGTTGTTTCTCATTGTTCCAAAAGAATCGCATCAGTCACTATACTTTTTGCTGGAGATGCACACCGATTGATCCGCATCCTTGATATCGTGTGTATGCATATATTCTGCATAAGGTGATCGATCGTGTTCGCTGTTTTGTCCGTGAACGGACAAACTCTTGGATGGTCTAGGAGAGCAATGCGGTAGGACCTAATAGTTGTCTACCACCCTGTAATCCACAAGTGTTATTTTGCACACAGTAGTAAACGGAAAAACAAACCAGCGAATATTGTGTTACCTTGTGTGCAAAAATTGCGGTGTTGCTATCCGGGGATGATGGCATAATCTCGAGTGGACGGGATCACCGGGTTGTGGTCGAAGGGTGGCATCCATTAGCAGACGAGTCAAGCCGTGAAATCCCAGCTCCACACATTGATTGCGTTCAATCAGCTCCTATGTTGAGTGAGAATAAAACGAATGAGGAACATTGATAGAACGAAACACAATGTGTTATTCGAGGCAGTCTGGATGGCGGCTATAGGGTATGGGAAACAAAACTCTAGGTCTTGCGCGCTAACTTGCAATGGTCTTCTTGAGCAGAACAGTCATCTTGACAAGGAGTTTGTGTGCGGGGACGCTGAAGCAATCCTGGCGGTCACAGATGAGCGGTTCGAATGTTATTTGACAACGGTCTGGATTTCATTAGGGTTCCAAATGGATTTTTCAGTGGGAGTTACGGACGATCACTCAGTTGTTCCAGATGTCACGGCGTTTTTGGTGATCAAACAGAGAGGCTGGGTATACCAGCCGAGCTTATTACGCGTCAACGAATGATATACCTTGGGGGGACGGAATTTGTGTAAACTAATTCGAGTTACGTAAATCTACAGCAAAGCTCTGGATAGATTGGTGAAGCTTTGCAGCGCGAATAACTGGACCGTGACGCATGCACATTATCGAACGCTTAAAGGTATTTTTGGCCGAAAAAGAGCTCAAGATATCCAAGGATTAAGAGTTACTGACCGGAAGGTGTATGGTTCGAACCTGCCCTCTGTACCTCGACTGCTTTTGTCCAGGCTTGGGTAACCTTACAGTAACTTGGCCCCCGTTAGAATGGCAGATGGGTACCGAAAGGGTTCCATCTTATTATTGTTGGTGTGGGTGAACCGTTTTATCTTGCTAGCTGAAAAGTGCGACAAACAGTTTGTGCCGAAATAATGCAAGCGTAAGATGCAACTAATCAATGACAATGAGAGCTGGATTTGAGTTGCAGGACAAACCTGACTTAGTGGAATTTTTCAGGTAACCTTCGACATGCTGTACAACCTCAAGTCGTTTAGGGGATCTACCAACATCAAAAACATTTTATTTGCCAGTCCGGTCGATGCTCCTTGGTTTACCTAAGCAGAATAGTCCAGCTGTAACACCATTTAGGTGCCTAGTTGCCACGCCACCAGAAAAAAACGAGGGCTGGGATACTGCTAGGTTGCCCAAGCCTAAGCAGAGGAAGTCGAGAGGCAGATGTCGGGTTCGAACCACGGCCCTTCCAGTCAGTAAATCCGCGCTCTAACCACCGAGCTGTCTCACCATCAACTAAACAGAATCCGAGGAAAAGCATCGGGACTTCCGCCATATTTGAGGACAACAAAGTCATTTTTCTTGTAAACATAGGCTTTTCGGGACGTTCTGATTCTTAAGAATGGCAAGCAAATGAAGGAGAGACAAGGGGTTTATTTCGGAAGATCGATACCAGCTCATTTGGCCTGCACCATGTGTTGGAATCGTGGTACGTTTCTTTTACTAAAACAAAAACGCCTCGTTTTACGGTTATGGAGTACATATAAACAGATTACACCGACCATTCCTTGCGGGTTTGAGAAGCTGGACAAAATTAGGTGCATTATTGAAAGTCCTGAATATTTTGTTCTCATCAATGGAACCCATAGAAAAAATATCACCGGGAACAGCTTTCCTTATCAATCAGACAGCTAGGTAACCACAACGAAGGTACAAACGTAAGCTTTCCGATCAGCACTTCTAAAAGTTGGGTGAAACAATTTGAATTCCCTAATCATCTTACCAAAAAGGAAACCAAACACCAGTGTTTCCGTTGGGTTCAGCGTTGCTCCACAATTATCAGAGGATTCTGATTACTTATGACTTAGTAAGTAACACAACAATTGAGTATTTCGTCCAAGGGTGTCGGAAATTGGAAACCATGTGGCTCTGAACAACTGCTTCCATGGAATGGACTAACAAGAGGTTGCAATAATACTCCGGATGGAAGTTCAGCACAGTAGGTATGTGTGGCTCTGATCAGTCATGTGGCCTAGTTTGACCGGCACATGATGAAGGGTCACTAGCCTCCAAACGTTCAAGCGATCTTCCTCATATACTATTAGGTTTGTTAATGTCAAAAAAAGGAATTTGCATTACTGCTGTGTAGTCGAGTAGGTACTCGGGATAAATTGACATAAGATTGGAGGAACTTCATACAGGGGAGTACCGATCAGTTTTGACTTACATGGCTGGTTACAATGTAACACCGAAGGGCGTACGGGGCTTGGAGCAGTAGCCGGTTTAAGATTTACACAAAAGCAAATGAAAGACAGGTGCAACCGTGAACCTACCAACCAGAAGCAGGCTAACCAGACCACAGTACTCCCTCTTATGATCGCACTAGCAAGAACTTACCACATCTGCGCCATTATCGAATCAGGTGGCCCAACTCAAGCCCATAGGGATCCAGCAATTCCAAGAAATTTGTCCACATCGTTTCAAACTGTCGACGGTCTGTCCACGCGAACGCACCAAAACGCGAGATTACGGCAGCGATACTTTCGTGTTCTAGCCCAAGCATGGAACCAACTTCCAATGTCTCAGACGGTAGGGATTTTTTTGCTGAACACAGACTCGTCCGCAGGGCAAGCAGACGAATACAACCTTGAACAGAACCGAGGGGAGAAGGTTGTGGTTAGGGCTCTTTTTTATCTATCGGTTTGTGTGTTACTACGGCCAAGCACTATACCTATGTTGTAAACCATACAGTTATTGAGCGGTCATCACATGCTAACTGAATGTGGACAGAGGGAAGGTATGGAATACAAACAAGCAAATAAAAAGCCCACGGGTTGCAAAGTAGCAGAAGAGAAAGCAGGGCAACTTCGCGTACCAATCAGACACATATTCAACCGGCCACTTAGCGACCAATCCATGCCAGGGACACAAAATGACCGGAGAAGTCGACACTTGTTCAAAACTTGGCAAGGAGGAACTCGCTCAGCGATAGCACTTTGCAGGAGGCTCCTTCCGCCGAAGGTGTCGTCTCCGCCTGCGAGACAAACTGAGGCCGAAGCCGCAGTGCCAACGCTTGTGAATGTGGCGATAATCGATGCAGGCTGGGTATACTGGAACCACGAACCGAATAAAGATGGGTATTTCGGTACTAGCAAGGTTGTCACAGTCGCATCTTCGAGAGTTGAATTTCTTGCATGCAGCTGTGGGTGATCATTTAGCGTCCAGTAGGTCAGGGGCACAGAAAGGCCAGCTATGAAGAGAAACGATGCGGCAAGATAAGTGTCCTGGTGATTGATTCACAGTGGGCACGTGCCAAGGTCATGCACTATGGACTACAGCACAGTGAGGATAAACGTTGAACAATAGGTCGAACTGCGGGGTGAGGTCAGAATCAAGAAAAATCACTTCACAAACACACTATCCGACAGCAGGAAATCGAGTGGCAAGGGAATCCAAAGGTGAAAAACAGTATAATGATCATGTTTTAAAATACTTAGAATTGTAACGTCCGACAGTGCAATCAATTGCATACAAACAGCAGACTCGGTCTGAACGTTACGGTAGTAAGAAAAAAGCATTATCAAACTGAAAAAAACGCTTACCAAATTTATCCACAGCAGCAAAAAACGTGACGAACTGCGTGAGCAATTGTTCGGCACCATCTCCTAGAACATCCACACCTTTGACCAGGTGTTTGGGAATCGTTTGCAACACACGATCCATGAGTTCGAGTGTGATTTGTACCAATGAAAAAGAGCAACTGCGGTGCCTAAGTTGAGATTTCCGGCTGCCAACTGATTCGTGCGGATCATAGCAGAGGGACTGGAGAACAAACTGTTAAAAAAGTTGTAGTTGGTTAGCAGATGACAAAGAACACCGACAATCAGTCACAAGATATTCTTGAAGGGAAGGTACCGGGTCGTTGGATTGTAGGTCCAGTTAGAACACGGATGAGTATTCACCTAAGCCGGAAAATATCAACACGTATAAGCGCTTTGGTGTGATTGAACAAACGAGAACGTCACACAACGAAAATCCAATCATGTAAACAATGGCGATGAGACAAAGTGAAGTAATGTATACTAATGAGTCAATATTCCGGCCATTGTCTTTGGAGATCCGGTGATCATTGGAGCGCGCCAGCGCTGGAGGACAACTAGGATTCTGATAAACACAGATTAACAACCTGTGGGCAAGAGTTTGCTCCAGTGAAGTCAATTTTGTCGACTGGTCGATTAACTCCATGGATGTTTGAGTTACTGTAATGGATGTTCATTAGACATGGAGATAAAAGGTTTCCCAAAGTGCATCTTGCAAGAGAGAACAGTTTTGTGGCCGTTGGGGACTGAACGACAACTGAGTCGAAACAGGAGCTCGAATACCCTGAAACATCCTCATTGCTCCTTAAATCGACTTTCGTCTTCAGCTTTCGTTGGGGAATTCGATCGAATCGTTCAGCTGTAGCACCCTTTCGGTGCTCATCTGCCATTCCACCCGAAGAGTGCACGACGGCTGGGATACTGCTAAGTTGCCCAAGTCTGGACGGAGGAAATCAAGAGTCAGAGGCCGGGTTCGAACCACGCTCGGTAAATTAGCGCTCTGACCAATTGAGCCACCGCGCCCGATAGTTATCGCACGCCACAATAACTCGTTTTGGAGCTTCCCGGTTGGAACCACATGTGAAATAGTAAACCGGGGAGTGGACCCAGGCGATTATTAGTAGTCAAAGGTGAAAAGTTTGGAGAAGCGTGAGGCCTAATGATGGGTCAGTTACTATAAAAGTGCAGGATAAGCTTACAAGCCGGAGTCAAAACAATAAAGTACAACTTTCGCCAAAAACCGGCATCCCTCATGAAATGAAGCACCCACCAAAGACGATAAAAACACGCTTCTCTCTCTGCACGGTTGACTTTATCGTATAGAGGTTCTTGTATGCTAGGGTGATCGAGATAGGAAGCAAAAAGAAACTGGTGGAGAGGAAAACGTTGACAAAATATTGGGATGAGAAAACAATTGGTCTTTCTGGGAAGCCACCGAGACAGACAACAGGACATCTTCACTGGAAGGGACGTTGCCACTGAAATTAGCATCAGAGGAGCAAGAAGTGGTGTCTTCAAAGGGGCTAATGACTTATTGATAACGAGCGCTTGATAAGCGACCAGCCACATTAAAAATTGGACCATGAGTTTGCAGGGCCAGCGTAAAAGCGACGAAAATGGCGCGATAAGTGTGGAGTGAATCCATGCCTTTTTTGAAATCATCCTCGGCGAGCAATCGGGTGGTCATAGAAATAGCTGGCAACCATTTTTCACTTTTTATGGTTTTATGCCGATTGATTTTTAAACACAGCAGTGGTTTCCGATGACAACCCTGTCCTACTAACCGCTGAATCTCGTCGACCAGGAGTGGGACTGCGATGGAAAACATGAATATTCTTATGATTTTGTCGCAAGATCATTGGTTCCTGATGTTATGAAGCGCCAGCGATGGCTAGCCGCGATTGAGTACGAACAGCAAGAAAGAAGCCAAGTAATTGCCTGGAACTCGATAGATATTATCAAGTCATCGCACGTTACTTATTTTATGCCTTCACCTGCAGCTATCGAATATGATTCGAACAAGAACAGAACAGGAAAAGAACACGGAGAGAGGGAGATAGCTCACTTCTGTGAGGACACAGAGGAAGCGTAACGCCACCGTCTCTGTTTCCATCGGCACAACGTCGACAGCAGGCAGTTCGGGAACGATCTGTAGAAAATGTACCAATGCCGTCGTCAGCCCGATCAGTTCGCACTGCACGGAAGTGTCTAAGCCCGGATCTGTGAAAAGGCACGGGAGGAGAAAGTGATTTCGCCCAATTCTTTGACATAGAACCACTCGGGCTTGGTGCAACAAGTTATCACGGTAATGTCGAGAACCTAAAAAGACTTGTAAAGATCTAAATCGGAAGAGCATACTTTGTGTAAGGGTCCCTCTGGAAGCTTCTTAGACTATACATATTACAACTCCGTGGTCTTGGCTGATCAGCGGAAAGTCGCCTAAACTCTGGAGGTTCATTCTCGCTTTGTTTTTGGACCAATGAAAACTAGCCTCTCTGACTTGAGTGATTTATGCCACGTAAAGCGATGGGTAAACTGATGATCAGTTCATGGAAGGATACCTTAATCAAGTCAAATCGCTTGGTTGTGACGTGCTTGCGGTACGAAGTTTCAGGGGAGACAGGAAAGCCGACACAAGACATATTCGCGAGTTCCAGACGTGGGGAGCTCTCCCAAGTGGTTCTGAGGGTCCGTCATCAGCAATCAATTATGAACCAACTGAATCAACTGAAGATACCTGTGGAAGTCATGTAAACAACGAAGGTAGCGAACAAGGTTAATTTTCGATGATTAGTCCGCTCGGCTAATCTATACGACACTAGGGATACATATCCTTTAACAAAAGAAGAAGAAAGGGGATGACAGCTGCATGACACCGATATCAGACAAATTTGTGGGACCGAGAGTTTTGCTAGCCAGTAGAAGTTCAACGAAGGAAGCAGAAAGACGGGGTTGTGATGAGGTCTCCTTTAGGTTCACTTCTTGCAGACATTTTCCTCGGCAAACATCAGGCTAAAAACTAGCGTGGTCATTAAGCAGGTTACACTGTGTTGCCGTTAAAGAGGTCGAGATCGAACCCGGGATTTTCCGGTCAGTAATTTTGCGCCTCAATCGTTGAGGTATCCCTAGCAGACACCATAGGCTAGTCGTATGACAAGACGTTTGTCGGATAGAGTACGCTAACGCAATCCTGTGACCCTGAGTGGTGGTTAGAACAAACGTGTTCAAGTGGAGTTGCATCGCATATTGGCGAAAACGAGTCACGATATCGTCAAATAGTGCGTCTCTGAGACGATGACGGCTGGTATGACCCAAACTGTTACTGACAGCAGAGGCGATTACAAGACTCAAAGGTTTACGGCAAAAAGAAACTTGGGCGACCTCTGAAGATGAGTTGGCTTGCGAGAAACCCGACACCATAAACTTGTCTGACATTGGTGTCACTCACTAGACTCCGTGCACCAATGACCCGTGTAACTCCCACCCACCCTTCACATCCTTTTCTTTCTTTACCTAAGTCTAACTTTTGAAAGTGATTACTAGTAACACAAATCCTGAAATTACTTCAAATAGTACAATTAGTTAGCCACATGGAATGATAAGACAGCCATTGGAAATGGGTAATTAGTTCAGGCCCAGTTGAAGTTGGAATACTTGCATAACCCCCTCCCCCGCTAGTCACTTCCGTCACAGAATTATGGACGGTTCTGGTTGTACTTCAGGGATCTGCCGGTATCTCACTCCCTTACTTCTAATAAGCTCCAGCAAAGCTACTCAGCGAAAGCAAGTCATAGTTGTACACGTATGAACACATGGATATTCCGAAATGATCCAACCAGGCTGCACTTGCAGTAAGTTTCTTCATGCGAACGCAGCCGCCATGCCATGGCAGCATAGTGGGATGGGCTTCCGAATCCCTAGGATGGCTGAGGCATGCCCAAACCGATTAAAAACCATGGTTTACATATTCACTGCTGAAGCAACATGTGCACTTGTTATGTACCTTAACTCCTGTGTTAGTTCTTGACTCGCTGTTCGCCCGCTATGGTGCATCAAAAGGCACGGTAGCTTGATAAAACGTGAATTTTACATATTCACTGCTGAAGCAACATGTGCACTTGTTATGTACCTTAACTCCTGTGTTAGTTCTTGACTCGCTGTTCGCCCGCTATGGTGCATCAAAAGGCACGGTAGCTTGATATAAACGTGAATGCAAACGAAGGGAGATCGTTACAACTGTGTTTATGAGATTATCACAGAATTTTCCATACAGCCGGACTGGGATCTTCGTGATGGGACGAGAAGCGCCTAGCTAAAGCTGCTCGACTCTGATTAGCCCATATTGTGACCAATCAGGACATACCTTCTTCTTGTCAGCAGCCGGTTTGCTTCCGTGCCCTACATCAATCAAAGTCAAGCTAAACACGCTCGCAGGGAGATTAAAACCTAGGTTGTTGACATGGAATTCCGTTACGAGTGACTTGGTAAGCCTATGTAAAGGTGAAAATCCGAAAATCACTAGTGTCCTAACAAGGGTTTTAGGCAATCAGCACACATTGGCCAGGTAAGTCCATGAATTGCCTTTACACGACAAGTGCGCGTTATTCTGGGAAAATAGATGCGAGGACAAGAGAAGCACGGATCCTCCGGACTCACCAAAATCCACTGCACGTAGGCACGAAGGATCGGAGACGATGGTTTGGATGCGGTCAAACAAGATTTGTTGCCTATTTTGGAGGTGGGAGTAAACGGAAACTCGAAATAGAAAATCCGGGACAGAGGAAATGTGAGTTGTTAATGACCTATAAGGCGCATCTGCTTGTTGTCGATTACTCCTTAGTTAATCGCCTCATATCTGGTGCGGATCAGTAAATTCACTTCATGAGGGCATACTAGATCTTTCTTCAATCAGTAGGGCCGCCAAATGCGGATGACGGTGACGATATGGTCTTTTACAAAAGTTCTGACCAGGTTACAAATAAGTGACCAATTATAAAGTCTGTGAGTTTTATCCGTATCGTTTGTCACAGTTGCAAAGTGCAGTCTTTAACACAGTCACAGGTACAAACTTGGACCAGATCAAGGAAAAATCGAGCTTATTGTCCACACTCGAGCCAATTTCGGCAAACAACTTCAGCATCAAGTGACTGATTTACAAAGCGGTAAGATACTTGAGGATTTCCTATTGGGATTTTGTTCTGCAAGTGCAGCCAATCAATGCCAAGTGACACAGGTACACAGCTGTTTGATCCTTACTGGGAATCATGAGCAGGGCGCACCTCGCGAAATTCCATGCCGTTGGAGCCTGGTTGGCAGTTTGACCGCTTAACCGTTCGGCCACGATCACCTGATCAGCATTGTGATTAACTCGCAGGACACAGCGCCACTTATCCTCTAAGCAGTCAGCTGCTGAACGGCTTCTTGAGTGACGAGTTCTCAAATGGGAGTTTCACTCGTCCTGTGAGACCACTCTTCCTCTGAGCTACATACATAGTGTTGTTAGGGTGAGGACTTTTGAAAACCTTCAATTGAGACCCCGTCCTGAGAGTCGAAGGACGAGTGTTATATAAAGTGATGTCAAGTGTTTGTTGTACCGAAACGAACGTGAAACCATAAGTGTGTTCCATGGTTTTTGTCACCTTTCGACGCTGGCACTGTAGGACAATGAATTCGGGAGCTGGCCACGTTTACACCAAGGCTATCAAGTGAATCGAAAAAACCTAGCCTCAGTTTTCTTACCATCACCTTGCTGCACAAAAGAGTACTTTGATACCTCAGGGTGAGATACGGAGTCTCCAGGTTTGGAAACATCGGTACCATGCCCCAGGTCTCAGTAGGATACAGCGAAAGCTTTCCATACGTCGGAATGTTCATGCATAGCTGAATGCCGTACCGCGTTAGAGTCTATTCCAGTACCGCAATTGTGGGACTTTTATAAAAAGACACTTGACAAGTAGCTGTCTGACTGGCCATCCATGCTATCTGTCACGCCGAACAGCCCCTAAAATGCACGCACATCTGGACTACTTACCAAACCTGTTTGGTCCCATCGATTCGAGGTCAGATGTAGTCCGGCGCGCTTCAGGGGATGCACACATGCAGGTTGCTATTGGATGTAAGGCCACGCTACTATCAGTTCAGAGCCAAAAACCATAGGCACGCGAATTTGCCTGCACTACTGTCTCGAACCGTTTGAATCATCAAAGACAACAATTAACCTAAAGCATACTAGAGTACAATCGACGCAGACACTGTGACCTTCTGGGTGGAAGTGGCAGGTGGGTTCCCACTTAAAAATAATGGTTCCACCGTGACATGCTTTGGGGGCAACTAGAAAGAGCTATGGGGAATGGTATATTACCAGGCTGTCCAAATCTAGATGAGGGCGATCGAAAAGCCAGGATTGGGTTCCAAACATCAACCTGATCTCTCTCTCTGTCACTCGATCTCCAGTTGGAGTAATGTTGGGCACTTTGCAACGTAGTCTCCGTCTGTTGAAATCAGAGACGATCATGCGCACCGAATGCTGCCTATACTATCACAGAAAACAGACCAATCCAGAAAGTTCGACACACACACACACACACACTCACGCGGTTCGGAATAGACAGCCAAGTTGTGGTGTCACACAGATTGTATGATCAGTGTGTGGTTGACTCGCTTTAGTAGTTTGCTCCTCACAAACAGTGTGCCGGCTGCGAGGATACGAGTGGAACACGAGGCTGAAGTAGATGAGAGTCGGATAACAACGACTGCAACAAGCACGCAGTATGGAGGTCAGGCGTTGAACCGCAGTCGCATCTGTGTCAGGCAAAGCTTGCAAGAGACGAACTGCTCCACGGATGTGCGAATGACAAGATGGCTGACGTAGCAGAACCTGAGCGAGATCAGGCAGCCAAACGTTTGAACCACTTTCCAGATGCTACACAATACAAAGAAAAAAATGGAACCGGTGTAATAAGACATTTCAGGGGACAAACAAAGCAGTAGAAAGATGCGAGAACTATTAGGCCCAGACCTGGAGCACACCGGCAACGTCTATAGTGAGATCTGCCTGATTCGAGGATGGTGCTCCATTTCCGTGAGGTGGAGCATGGCTACCAACATGAGTCCATACACTGATCGCCTGTTCTAAGAGATCCCCTAGCTCGAGCACAGACGACCGGAGCGCGTTGGTTTTGGGAAGACGACCGCAGTAGTCCATTAGTGTAGTCAGCGGAACCGACATGGAGTGCTAGTGGGGTGGGGGCGGGAGAAGAAATAACTCATGAAACATTACAGTCCGAACAAAAATGAAAACAACACAAAGTCAAGAAGAAGGTACTCACGTTGGATACCGTTACTTTGTCGGTCTTTTCCGATTCGAGAAGCAATCGGAACAACCGTGAGGCCTCCCGTATGGCGGACAGCTGTAAGCCAAGAGGTAGAGACGGTCGGCGACAAGTGGAGCACTCGTTCAAAGAAGATGGTTCGTCGGGTCTGGGTGCGATGAAATGATCCCACAAAATTGCTAAACGCTGGTTGATATGAGGAGGACGGTCTTGACCGGATAGAAGACGTAACATCGTGCGAAGTTGGACGATGGTCTGGAGTTGGGAGTTGGTAAAGAACACGCTGAATGGATAGGATCGCAAACGGTGGCAAAAAACTGTATCGAATACAACTCTTGCAGCTACTATGGTCTAATGGGTGAAGTTTTTGTGGACGAGACCAATTGAAGTGCTAATCGATAAGAGGACATGATAAATGGAATGCGAACCTTACTGCATTGACCGTAATCTTGTTTCTAGTAAGGATAATGCTGAAAAAGGACAAACGTTTGAATGACCTTCCCATTTTTCTATCTATTCCTGACCGTGAAAGAAAAAAAACGCGTATTTTGGAAGGTGACATTTTTAACTTCTTCAATTTTGACAACGAAGGAGACCGACAAACTCACCATAAAAGGCACGGATTCCGAAAGATAGCTTAGAAGCTGCGACCCTCCAGTAGGGCAGTTGGCGAGCTCTTCCAGGAGTTGGACAACCGGTGATACACGAGAGTGCCAAAGATCAAGCAAACGAATGAGCTCCGTCGGCAGCAGTTTATTTTCGGGACCTGGTTTGACTATCCGGTTGAGCAATGCTGTTTTCTGTAGAATAGGACGCGCAAAATAATTAGAATGAATGGCCGCTGATGAGCCCAAAGCGTTAATAGAGATCCATGGGATATATGATAGAATAATCAGAACTGAGTAGAATGATGGTGTACGGAGAGAAAAAGCTTTATCCAGGGTGAGAATTATGGGAGTATATAATCACAGATCACGTGCTACTGGTTCCTGTTCCTTGGAGATTATCCAAGGATGATGAGGGCAGCAGCAAAAAAAAAACAAAGTAGCGCGAAGCAGAAAGCAAAGCATGTACCGGCTTCTTCGAAAGCTACGATGAACAGACAGGCGATTGAGTTCAACTTTTGAGCCCGATCTAGACAATTCGGGGTCCCAGTGGTGCCAAGAAGGTATGTCACCAGACTTTTTCCGCCAGGGGTGTGATTGCTTTAGTGGACAATGAAATTTGGTGAGATGCGAAAATATGAAAGTAGATTAGGGTGGTTTTCTGTTTGAACATAAAACGCAACAAAATGAAACATTTTGGTGTAAAGAGTTTTATTCCACTCGGGAGGGTTTTGCAGTTAAGAGCATTATGTAGCCAAGGGGCCCTCTGTTCGGCGTGTCTCTATGTGAAAACCAGTGTTGCCAGTTGACAGATAAACGGAATAAAGCGAATATTATCCGCTGTCCACAAGATTATGTAAAGAGGGAAAGGGTGACTCACATTCCGACCATGTTTCACAGCCCACCTCAGTTGCTCCGTCAAGTTGGCTTGGGCGCAAATTTCCGCGCATAGAATGTGCTCACTGGCAGACCATATACTCGGGGCTGTGATGAGGGCCTGCTCACGTCCATCCACAGAAGGTACCAACAACTGGACCAGAAGCATGGATAAACGGGTCCAAAGCACGGGAAATAATGGCTCGAACAGTCCCAGTCGAGAGAATTGCCGACTCAGTTGCTGTAAGATAGAGGAGGAAACGAAATGTGGCGGTGTGGTGGTGCGGAAAGGATGAACGAAATTCCGGCCGACTAAATGGGTGGCATCCAGGAGGCGCTCAGTATTCGCTAAATGGAATTAAATTTTCAAAAGCTATGACGTGTCCCTGATGGACTAAGCCAATCGGGCAATTGAGTTCAGAGTATCAGTCGGAAATTTTGAGCCCCATTTAGGCATCCCGGGGTCTCAGCGATGCTGGGAAATTATTCCACCAGACTTTTCCGCCACAGATATGATTGCTTCAGTGGACAAATAAATCTGCTGAGCTGCAAAAATATGAGCGTAGGTTAAGACCGGATTTTGGCTTGAGCACATATGCAACGAAATCAACATCTTGTGCTCCAAACGTAAAGGTTTAGCAGCTAAGAGCATTGTGCGGCTAATGGACCCCCATCCAGGATGAACCCTGAGGAAAAAAAGTAACCAGGCTCATAGCTCTGACAACGTCGGCACACCAACAAAGCAATTAGAACTTCTGTTGCGCCAAGCTGCCGTTTACACGTTATGCCTGCCAGCCAATCCAGCCAAAAACGGGATTTATTCGGATGAAGAGAGTGTAGACTTAAAAACACCCATGGAGAAGTTGCTGGCTAGTACACACTGATTCATAGAAAAATCCTAGGAGCCCACTGCTTTTGGTAAGGCACTAATTGTAAGGTTGACGACAAGTGATAATATCGTACAAAGGCCTGTGCGCGGCACATTCGGTTAGAGAATAAAGAATAAAGAATATGTGTCGCACTGGAGACATCTTAAACTGCATATGGGTGCACAACTACTGCTTCTGTGAGACTGCACATGCTGAATTGGGCTGCGACTGTCCAACTGTACAAAACCAGGGTGTTGATAATATGTGGAAACTAGGTTGAACCTTGTAAAGCAAAGAGCCCACCAACGAGGAAGACTGGGGCTAGTATATTCTATCTGCCGGTATGTTTGTAAGTGTACACATCATCAAAACATTAAAAAAATAATTGTTCAGCTGTAACATCCTTTGGGTTCATGCTGCAATGCCACCCGAAGGAAGCACGAGGGTCGCAGGTTGCCCATACCTAGATAGGAAAGGTAGAGGTTCGAACCACGGACTTTCTGTTCAGTAAGTTAACGCCTTAACCACAGTGCAATCACGAGCTCGATCGATAACAATATATGACATGGGAAACCGTACCTTACCAGCTAATTCAACTTCTACCAATTCACACTTAAGCTTCTTCGTAACCCACATTACTTCTGGTGTAACGGTGGATACTACTGATGAAGCACGCGAGTAGTATGTGGTTTTCTAATAAGTCTATTGAAAAGTGAGATTTATTACGGAATTTGTGGAGTCACTTTGTAGCATCTGTTTACGGTTGAGTGATAGCCAATGAGTATCCAGGAAAGTTCAGGAAACCCCGTTCGAAAAGAACAAGATGCATATGAGAGTTTCCCATCCCTGTTCAATAGTCTGTAACTGTTCAGCTGGTGCTCCCCAATAAACAACCCTGCAGTGAAGGCCTTCTTCCTTTCACTGGTAGGCTGTAGCCAGGGGACAATGAACATGTCAGCAAAAAGAACAGCGTATGACAGTGGGCGATTATGTGACGTGAGGTGCGGCGAATCACAATGACAGCTTACTACGAGACAGCTTGACACCCTTCCGATAAACAAAACTACGCGGATGTGATAAATACCATCATCTTGCTGAAGCTCTTCGAGCCATCTGTCCTCTCCTAATGGAGAAAGAAACAATTTGGCCCTCAACGACTTACTTGGAACTCAGAATTGAGCGGATTAGGAAATGAATGTGGCAAAGCGGTCTGGTCTTCACACAGCCTTTCAGAAAAACTCTTACCTGAAATGAAAAGGACAGCGGGAATTAAGGTTGGTCACCACGAACATGTATGAAGAACGGGCAGAAAAGAAAGCCAGACGGACTTACAGCAGTCAGTGAGTTCGATCACGGTGAGAAAATGCGTCAGCGTGAGTTGACAAACCAGTTGTAGCAGCACGCCGACTGTGTCCCCGTCTTCCAGAGTGAGTTTGTTCAAGGAGGTGGCCAGCCGTGGATTTTCCACTAAAAGTTGGTGTACGGCAAGAACCAGTTGTCGCAAAACGTGGAATGCATGGCTGCAGTTAGAAAGACACAGAATGGAGAAAGAGCCGAAGGTCACCAGTGGAAGTAGCTACTGAATGAGCATCCCGATTCGTCATGAATTTCCTGTAATGGCAGTGACTAAGTTGTTCCTACTTATTGAGGGACAAGAACGTGTTCCAGAGATTTGGTGTCAATTGGTGGTCGTACTTGTGTCCAAAAGACGCATTCGAACCGACTGTTCCAACCACGTCTTTTCTTGTTGTGAGAGCGCTACTGCCTTCCCTTATAATGCGACGCTTATCTTTAGCATATGCGACGCAAGTCCGAAAGCATCAAGCAGGGTTTTGAGCTGGAAGAGGTGCGGGACCATATTTTTCCACTACGTCAAGTAATTGAGCGAAATGATTCTCAGGTGTGTTTATTTTAATGCTGTTAAAAGGTGTGGGCACCTTATCCTTGGTTGTTTTCCATAAGAGCACGAAACCTATTCACACAGAATCCCCACCATTCTTTGTTCTTTTACCTGTGTACTAGAGCCTTCTTCCCTCATTGTTGTATGGCATTTAAACACCAGTTTGTATTCCTGGTCAATTGCTGTCAGTGATGATGATGATACCGGCAGTGTACATCTTTGGCGATAAAGGGAGTCGAATTTCGGTCATCTGTGACTTGTGAGGCGGGAAAGTAAAGACTGCTGGGTGATGTGACTGACCTAGCTTCCAAAAGTTAAAACCCACAAAATGAGAACCAGAACTTTCAACCTTCTGTAACTCGAGTTTTTGGGACAGACAATAACCTAAAGTGATTTTTCTGTGACTATCCCGACGGATGAGTTTTCAGATGAACCATGCCAAAAGAATCTATTCGATCCCTGTCGCCACAGTTTAGTGTAAAATGGCCTGCAAGATATGAGCAACAAACAGCGTCTGCTAATTTATCGGTATTTTGTGAATTAGATCCCGGAAATGGAGGAAAGCGGGTCATTACCAGAAAGTCAAGCGTCGTTCAGCTGTAGCACCCTTTCGGTGTCTAGCTGCCATGCTACCTGAAGGAAGCACGAGAGCTGGGCTACTGCCAGGGTGCCCAAACCTAGACACAGGAAGTCGAGAGGCAGAGGTTGAGTTCGAACCACGAACCTTCCGGTCGGCGAATTCGCGCTTTAACAACTGAGCCACCTCCCCCCCCCCATCAAAAAAGCAAATGCAATGATAACCGTAATAGTCGACCAATCGATCGTCACAACCAGGACATTTACTGGGTCGTCGTTCGATGAGTCGAGCACACCAATCACATCGCTCAAGTGTGAACCCGTTTGCCTGTTCAGACGTGATAATTCGGATGCGTCCAACATGCGTTGGTGGAGTAGTGGTCACATGCTCGCCTCGTGTGTCAGATGTCCGGGGTTCAAATCCCGGCACGGTCACTGAATATGCACTCCGGATGAGCTCTAATAAGGGCGAAACTCGAGTCCAGTGCCTCCCTTTGGTATGGACTCACTGGAATAATTTCGCCAGAACAGGAACACGACCGTTCAAACACGAGTGGGGTGACTGTGAACAAAATACCTATCCCGCAAACCCCCCAAAATAATCACAACAATAGGTCCAGTAAAGTAATAACTCGAGTTCGTGTCATACGTTAAATGGAATCCGGTTTGTGGGTGGGTATGATTCCGGTCACACAACAAAAACAGTGATAACTGAGTGACTAGCATATCAAGGAGGTCATGACAAAAATGTCATATAGGAAAATCGGTAGTATATAGGTGCGAACTAAGTATTCACCGACTGTGGGATCGATAACAGAAATTTAGGGATCAAGGCTGTTGTGCGCGAAATACTGTTAACTTACAAGAGTGGTCCGAACCACCACGCAACAAGACGTCCGACGAAAACAGGTCATCAGTGAGAGAGCAAGCAGGATCATCCACTACAGCTCCCATATTCAACTCGAAAAACTTTGGTGGTATGAGGGCCGTCTACTTGTTTTCGTGGAGCAACAAATTTACGTCTGTACATTTAGTAAAGAAATCGACAGAAAAACCAGGAACTCATGGAAACGTGTTATGAGATCAACTCATGATTTATAGAACCAACTACAATGCAAAGGTCCGTGGTTGATAGGATTAATACTTCCGTACGAACTCGAATGTGTTAGAGTGGAATAACACTTACCTGAGAAGGTGGGCCGATTGTTGGATAGGATTACTTGCAGTATTCGCGGGAGAAGACGGGGCGTGACCACGAAGCAGGGTGAGCAATCGCAGATGCAGGCGTATGCAACAAACTTGTGCAACAGCCCACTGTACGGAGAAACTTGTCAAGTCAGTCTCACAGTCTGCAGTTACAGGCTAAACGAGTGTAGATGAAAGGAGTGTTCCGAATGAGCAGTGTGATGAACACAATCAAGCATCGGAATAAGAAAACTGGTTAGTAAGATCACAAGGTCACGTGGCAGCGTCGCTCACTTCCATTCAGCGCTCTTGATCAAATGGTATAGTTAGGAAATTCATGCTAGCGAAAGCTACGTTTCAAATACAATCTGCGACGAAACCATGGGGTCGAAGTATTTTCTCAAAACAGCTCTCATGTTTAATGAGCAAGCTTTTCTCCGGATGACTGTCAACAAGCAATGATGATCAAAGATAATTTCTAAGTCAAGCTATTCGCCTAGCCTTGAACTAACAATAACGCAACTTTTGTGTTCAATCTTTGTTAATGAGCTTCGTTTACTCTATAAAAGTCGCGCATTTCGGACGGATAACATTGGTTGGAACGATTGAAGTATGCAACCGAGAGGATGCCGTTCGAATGGAACAGAGTGAAAAGACCCTAAAACTCCGAGTTTTTTGGCTTCGGTCCGTGGGCAGCTGATCGTCTAATCGAATGATATTCAAGAAACAGACGCCTCTTTCCTTGATACAGTGCATCATTCAAAAGGGTGATGAAAATTTCTTGTTAAAGCTTGTTTGTCGTCATTCCACATTGCATACACCGTCCGGTTTTAGGGCTCGAATCCACAAGGGGCAGGGGTGGACTGAGGGCTAACAAAAAGCAGATCCTCCGAAGAGAAACGCCAGATGATCGCCGTCCACTTAGAATAGTAAGGTGCACAGTTGGCGCAGATAGTTTAAATCACTCACCGATGACTTATCCGTAACAGGCAGCGTGACCTTTAGAACGCGATCCAGAGCGAGACGGATGTTCGCGAGATGTGTGGATTGACAGTCGCTTAGTGCGATAATAATATGGTCGCAGACACGCAGAATTGAGCCTAAGTCATCACGCGTACATATCTGCATAGTACCATCCGTCAAATGCGTCACGACGACGTCAACAACCTGTTGGGGAGGAGATGCGAAAACGTCGATATCGTCAGGATTAACGGGAAAGAAGAATGATATAAATAATGATTGTTCAACTGTGAAACCTATTCGGTGCTTAGCCGCCATGCCACCCACGGAGAGCCCGAGGGCTGGAGGAATGGCCGAGATCCCCAATTGTAGGCAGTAGTCAAAACTTTGGGATCGAGTTCAAACCATGGACCTTTTAGTAATCTCGCGACTTAACCACAGAATACCAATTCGCCGAATGGAACAATCAGAGAGATCATAAGCAGCAACACAACGGAGATTCGCGGATTTTTTTCGTTCATTTGCCGATGAAAAGATATATGTATGTTGTTAAGGTGACTCTGTCACCAGATGACAAAGGGTACGCTTACCTGACTGAGGACATTGGATAAGCGCTTCTCCTGAACATTCGAAGGACCCAACTGGAGGAGAGTAGCCTCTTCCACTATGAGGCACAACTGATCGTAGCTGGCAGGCAGATGGGCCAGCCGACGAAGAAAAAAGTTGAATGCAGCCTCACGCGCCACTTCCGCCTGCCTGCATTAGGGAACGATGGTAAATTTGTGGATAATTCCCCGTTTTAGAAGGTATGTTCACCCAAAATTGACACTCAAGAAAAACCAGCACAATTTACGTCGCCAAAAAGAAGGTAGAATCAGAGGAGTAAGGAAACAAGAAATAGCTGACTCAGCACACGGGTATGCACGGTACAAAAAAAGCGGATCTTCAAAATGTACGGAAGGAAGAAATGGATGTTCAAGAGATATGAAGGATCATGCTTTGGCAAACAGATACACGGATACACAGATCACTGTGCTTGCATCTGCACTAAGTGCGATCGAATATATTCCCCATCCACCAATGGCATGGTGTAGCGCTTAGCT